GGGAGGCCGGGCTGCGGTGGGATCGCTCCTGCCTGCACCCCAGTGCCCTGGCGTCCCACATCCTCAGCGCCTGCCCTGCACCCCCACAGGCTCCAAGAGCTGGAGGACCAGTACCGCAGGGAGCGGGAGGAGGCCACCTACCTGCTGGAGCAGCAGAGGCTGGTGAGGCCCAGCCCCAGCCCCGCCCTGGGGAGCCCCGCCCTGGGGAGCCCCGCCCTGGGGAGCCCCGCCCTGGCTCTCACCCAAGCTGGGCTCCAGGGGCTCTGGAGAAGCTTTCCCAGAGCCTACCCTGAACACGTGCCGGCCTCTCAGTCATCCCCACCGCGTGGCTGTGGTGAGGTCATCCTCCCGGATGGGGGCTGAGCGGGGCTGAGCCAGGTCCTCCCACAGGACTACGAGAGCAGGTTGGAGGCCCTGCAGAAGCAGATGGACTCCAGGTACTACCCAGAAGTGAACGAGGAGGAGGAAGAGCCAGAAGATGAAGGTGAGAGGGCCTGACGGGGAGGGAGCTGGGAGAAGAGGCAGCCCCAGGTCCTCCTGGAGGTCTGGGTTAGCGATGGCTCCGAGACCCCAGCCTGCCCTCCAGGAGAGGGCACCTCATCCGGGGAATCATCCGCCAGAGAGTTCAGAGAGCTGTGCTGACTCAGGAGCGCACATGCACAGTGTACACACAGGCACATGGACACATATGTGCATATGCACAGTGCACACATGCACACAGGCAGGTACATATGCGCAGACACACATCACATACACAGTGCATATATGCACACATGCACATACATGCAAAATGCACAGACAACTATGTTTGCACACATGGACTGTACATGCATGGTTCTGAAGGGTGCATGCATGTACACAGACAAGCATGAAAATGTGTATGTACAAATACGTGTGTACATGCTATACACATATGCACTCATAAAGCACATTTGTACACACTCAACAAACATGCACACACATGCATGCTGTACACACACTCATGTGTGACAGTGTTTGCACATGCTGGTTCTGAAGGGTATATACATGCATGCACAAAAGCACGCAAATGCACATGACTTATGTACATGTATACACCAATGCATGCAATATGCGGAAATGTGCACACATACTCATGTACCTGCCATACACACATGTACTCACATAGAAGAAATGGCACACAGACACACGTGTGGACACTGTACATACGCACTCACATATGTGCACTCACACGTGCACACAGATCCATATGTGAACACATACATGTACATACACACATATACCTGCTATGTATACATGCACTCACATGCACACACATGTGCACACCACACATGTACTTACACGTGCACTCACATGTGCACTCATATATGCACACACAAATGTACATGCACATGGATGTGTATACCTGTTATACGTGCATGCACTTACATAAGCACACATATACACAATGAATTTACACACACACATGCACATACATGTGCACACTGTACACATACACACTCCTGCACACATATGTGCACACATGCTGGTTCTAATGGGGTGCCTGGCCCACCCCACTCTGCCAGATGTGTAGTTTGTGTCCCTTTCAGGAAGCGGACACCTCCACTACTCCCCACCCTCACTATTCCGTCTGAGCATTTGCTCCTGAGCTGGGTGTTGAATGCCAGACCTCCTGGGGGATGAGAGTGTGGAGTTGGTGCACATGTGTGTCCATCTTGGCTTCAGCTCTATACGTGACCCTGGACCAGGTCTCTTATGTGATCTGGGCTTACTTTCCTCACCTGCCCAACAAAGCTCCTTCCCACCCAAAGGGCAGGGCTCTGGATGGGTGCTGAAGGTCAATAGAACTGTGGGGAGAAGAGAGCAGAGCCCTGGGGCTAGGTCCCAGGGGTTTGTTACCCTTGGCGTCCAGGCTCAGAGAGGGCGTGTGAGCTGGGAGAGGGGAAGGACCACCTGCCCACCTGCCTCCTGTCCTGTGGTACCGGCTCCCACTGCTGACCCCCAACAGCAGCATGAGACTGTCCTTGGCTCTGTAGCTCTCGTGGCCTGTGCTGAGCTCTGGCTAGCTCCCAGCCATGTTCACAGAGCTCTGCTCTGTGGGGCACATGGCCTCTGCACATGACTTCCTTCTCTCTGGGCCCACAAGGACCTCCTCCTGTCACCTCACCTTGGGGAGGGACTACCTTCAACTCCAGCCTGCCGGCTGTGCTGGCCGTGGGGGTCCAGGGCCAGCTCAGGGCAGCCCCACAGAGTGACCACGGCCATCTGGTCTGCTCGGTCTCCTGGGCTTCTTGGTGGGAGGCCTTGATGTCTCCCATGGTGACCGTGAGACCTTTCTCCACAGTCCAGTGGACGGAGCGGGAGTGTGAGCTGGCTCTGTGGGCCTTCCGGAAGTGGAAATGGTACCAGTTCACATCCCTGAGGGACCTATTGTGGGGTAATGCCATCTTCCTCAAAGAAGCCAATGCCATCAGTGTGGAGCTCAAGAAGAAGGTGAGCCTCATGGCCCCAGCCCTAGGCCTAGCACATGTCAGAGGGAAGTCCTGCCCATACGCCACAGGGACCCTGGCTCATAGCCAGCCCAGGAGAGAGGCACAGACCCACCTCCCCCAACCCCAAGAAGGGCGGATGATGGGAAGCCTTGCGCCAGGAGGCCAGCTGTGTGTAGGTGCAGCTTTGGCTCCAGGGCTGGCTGGAAGGTCCTCCTGTGAGCACACAGCGGAGTCTCAGGGCAAGCCTCTGGGGAGAGCACACCCCCCCGCCCCGCACAAGGCTGACGTGAGGCCCCTCTCGCCTGCCTTAGGTCCAGTTCCAGTTTGTCCTTCTCACGGACACACTGTACTCCCCACTACCCCCGGACCTGCTGCCCCCTGAGGCCGCCAAAGACAGGGAGACACGGCCCTTCCCCCGCACCATCGTGGCTGTGGAAGTGCAGGACCAGAAGAACGGGGCCACCCACTACTGGACACTGGAGAAGCTCAGGTGTGTCCTGCGGGCAGGCAGGAAGGGGACAGTGGACGAGGCCGGCAAGGCCACGGATTCCGAGGATGGCCCCTGACACCAACAGAGTAGAGACCCAGTGTTTCTACGGAGAAAAGGATGGTGGAGGCCGCAGGGCCACCAGGTCCTCACGGTGCTGCTGGGAGGCGGCGGCAGGGCGGGGGGGAACCAGCAGGGTTTTGTGTGGGTCTGCAGCGCAGGGCAGCGGTGTCACCAGAGCCAGGTGGAGCCGGGCCACCCACTCTGGGCCACATGGGCGGGGAGGAGCACTCCACCTCTGGCTCCCCACCACATCCCTGCAGAAGGCATTTCCCTGGGTCAACCCAGTAGAGGTGACGGGGCTTGGTGGAGGGAGCCCCATGGGAGGGGGCGGGATGGGGGCGAGGAAGGAGCCGGGGAGGCCACTGCTGTCCCACCACCTCCACTTGAGAAGTGGTGGCTGTCCTAAAGTTCAACTACACTCACACACACAACTCACACGCAGGCTCACAAACACACTCACATACACTCACAGTCACATGCTTGCACACAGGCTGACATACACATTCACGTACACTCACAGTCACATAGGCTCACATACACAGGCTCCCACACACTCACAGACACTCACAGTCACACATGCTTGCACACATACACTCTCACATAGGCTCACACACACTCACATATACTCATACATACACAGGCTTACACACACTCACATATAAACACAGGCTCACACACACTCACACATACACACATACACTCACACACACATGCTCGTACACATGCTCACACAAACACACATGCTTACGTGCACTCACACTTACCCATACACACAGGTTTATACACACATAAGCTCACACACTCTCAAACACATGCTCACACACATGCTTACATGCACACACATGTTCATGCTTTCGCACACAATGCTCGCACATGTTCACACACACAAATACACACTCAAAACACCCACACATATACACACGGGCTCACACACATCGGCTCACACACACTCACACATGCTCATACATGTGCTCACACACATACACTCACACTCACATTGGTAGACACTCATACATTCATGTGGGCACACAGATACACACACATAGGCAGACACAGATGTGGAAACTCGCGTACGCTCACACAATGGCAGACACTCATATGCTCATATGTAGACATACACACACACATTGGCAAACACAGACATTTATGTGGACACATACACACTCACGCATTGACAGGCACACATCCATTCACGTGGACACACACTAATTGACAGACACACGCTGTCACCCACCATCACTTCCCTGTCCTCCTGTTGCCAGGTGAGTCTAACTGCATCTCCTGCACCCAGTCTGCCATGTTTCCCTGGGGATGGCGTATTTAGAGTACCATTTTAGTGCTCAGTCCCCAGCACCAGTCTGTCCTGACTCCTAACCTTCCAGACTCGGCAAGGGGACCCATTTAGGAGTCCTCTGCACGCTGCCAGCTTCGGTGGGGTATTCCCCCTTCCCACCTGGTTTCTGGCTTCCAGGTGCTGCCGTACCCCCTCCGGCCCCATGGCCTTATCCAGGCCTTCCTGCCTGGTGAAGATGGCTTTGTTGTTTGGTTGGATTTGAGAGGGATTCCGGGTAAACTTGCGTGTTTCACTGGAAGTCTACTATTCACAGTTGGCCGAGTCAGAGCCCATGTTGGGGTCCAGGAAGCTACAGTGAGCCGGGCCTGACCAGGGCCTAGCAGGGAGCTGTGGCTGAAGCAGGCTGAGCCCACTGACCCCATGGTCTCCACAGGCAGCGCTTGGACCTGATGCGGGAGATGTATGACCGGGCAGCCGAGGTACCCTCCAGCATCATTGAGGACTGTGACAATGTGGTCACCGGTGGGGACCCCTTCTATGACCGCTTTCCCTGGTTCCGGCTGGTAGGCAGGTGAGTGTCCCCCTCCCCTGTCCAGGAAAGGGAGACAGCTCCAAGGCCTAGAGCCCCATGTAGGGAAGGGAGCCAGTGAGATGTTCCTTCCACACCTGCCCAGACTTCCCAGCCCTGTTCTTCCCCGGCTCCTAGTGGTCTAGCCAACTCTCCACGCATGGAGGCCCGGGATGTTGGGGACCTAGAGTGGGTTCCTGGCATGCCCTCCCCCCAACATCTGCTGCAGGGCTGCAGCCACCAGGTGACACATGGCTAGGTTTCTGGGGTTACCTGGTGGCCTTGAGGGTGGGCTGAGAGGCAGGACTGTGTCACCCCAGACTCTGGTCTCCCAATCTGAGGTCCTCTGCACCCCACGGGACCAGGCTCACAGGCCTTCACACAGCCTCGGTCACACCCTGTTCTCCATCCTGCCTGCCAGTGCCTTCCTCGGTACCTTCTGGTACCTTCTGGCACCTTCTGGCCGACCACACTTTGCTTTCTTTCCAAGCCTGGAGAAGGGGTGCATTTGGACCTTCTCATCTTTGAAGGCAGCGCTGTTGATGGCCTGTGTGGTTTTAAACAGACGTGCCCACCCCCCCCCAGCCGCCTCCCTCCACGTGGCCGGTGTTAACCTCTCTCTGTCTTGTCGCACTAACCTCAGTCCAGTCATCTCTGGCTGCAGCAGCTACCCTCTTCTCAACACATGCATGAGCGGGCGCATGGCTGCTCTCACCCCCTCCCCCACCTTCTCGAGCCCCGACTCCGATGTCACCGAGCCTGCCGAGGAGCAGAGCGTGGGGGAGGAGGAGGACCTGGAGGAAGATGACGTCTTTCTGGAGCACGCGCAGTGCCACTGCCGGGACCCGTTTTACGACCGGCCCCCCCTGTTCAGTTTAGTAGGAAGGTTGGTGAGGTCGAGGCGCGCATGCGGTGAAGGACCCAGCTCTTTCGCACAGAGCACTGCTGCGGGCACGATTTGGCCACCGCAGGGTGGGACCCAGGTGTGCGGGGCCTAGGTGTGGGGGAGCCAGGTGTGCGGGAGCCAGATGTGGGGGAGCCAGGTGTGCAGGATACAGGTGTGCAGAGCTCAGGTGTGTGGGACCCAGGTGTCTGGTACCCACATGTGGGGGATCCAGGTATGTGGGACCCAGGTGTGCAGGACCCAGGCGTGTAGGGACCCAAGTGTGGGGGACCTAGGTGTGTGGGACCCAGGTGTGTGGGACACTGATATGGGGGATCCAGATGTGTGGGGCTCAGGTGTGTATGGCCCAATTGTATGAGATCCAGGTGTGTAGGGCCTAGGACTCTGGGGCCCAGGTGTGCAGCACGAAGGTATGTGTGGGATGCAGGTGTGTGGGATGCAGGTGTGTGAGACCCAGGTACGTGGGGCGGCTCCTGGCGTCCCTGGGCAGAGAGGTATGTGGAGGGGCTGGCCTTCCTGAGAGGGCAGTGAAGGAGCGCACAGGCCCCCATGGTGTGTTCCAGTAAATTCTCTTCAGGACCCCCTAGCTGAGGCAGGGCAGAGGCAAGGTCCTGGTTAGGAAGGGGGAAGCGTGGCCCTGAGTGTAGCCATGACTGCAGGCACGGGTCTGTGCTCAGGTCCCTGGCCAGGCCTGTGGGGTTATTTCTGCAGAGGCCTTGGTCATGGGGCGCAGGCCGCTGGCCAGGCCCCAAGTTCCCAAGTTCTTCTTGGAGTCTTTGGGCCAGCCCAGGGGGACATTGGAAGGTGAAGTGGGCCCTCTTGAACTGATCCCTTGGTCCACTTCTGGGACTGGCCTCCCCTCCTGCATTTTCCTGGCTGATGGGCCTCTCTGTGGGAGGTGCACAGGCCCCTTGGTGCTCAGGGCTGAGCCTCTGGGAAGAAGGAAGGAGCCCTGGGGAGGCCGGTGGGAGGGCAGGAGGGCTGGAGTTTGGTGATGGACAGGCCTCAGCTTAAGAGCCTGGAGGAGCACAGGCACCCACCCCTGAAGCTGGGGCAGAACCAGCTGTCTCTCGGTCTCCTGGGTGAAGGCGGGGTCGGGACAGGACCGTCGCCGCCGACCTCCAGGTTGCCATGGCGAGACACTGGCCTTGCCTTTGCAGAGAAGAGCTGGTGACATGTCTCCCAGGGGCGAGGGGAGGCTGAGGTCCAGAGAGGTCAGAGGCTGTGGGGAACTGAGCCCCCAGGGTGTGGGCCCCGGCCTGCAGGAGGATTTGGCAAACGCAGCACGACCAAGCTCGATTTTATTATTGTGGAGTGGGAGCAAGGGCAAAGCCAAAACCACACGCACTGCCGTCAAGTCAGATCCAACTCATGGCGACCCCTCCTTGGGTTTCTGAGGCGGTATCACTACAGAAGTAGATTGCCCAGCCTTCCTTCGGAGGAATGGCTGGTGTGTTTGAACCGCCAGCCTTCTGGTTAGCAATCAGGTGCTTTAGTCATTACACTACCAGAGCTCCCGCATAAGGCAGTATCACTAAGGAAGCAGATCACCCAGCCTTAACTTCCGAGGAGTGGCTGGTGGGTTTGAACCATCAGCCTTCTAGTTAGCAGGCAGCGGAGAGAAAACTCTAGAAACCCAGCTGCCATAGGGAGTTTGACACACGAAATAAACGAGTTCTACGTGTATAAACATAGAGATTTCTTATTAGAGACCTTCTTAGGAGTCTGCCATTGCTTCTTTGGGCTAGCCCAATGGACGTTTCTAGAAGCCTTGGCCTTGGTGCCCCCATGCTGAGAGCTCCTGACTTCGGGGTCTATACTGGGAGCCCCAATCATCCTCAGAAGGAATGTTCCATGGCTTCACGTCAGGATCACGGATTGATCCTGATTCGTTTCTGGTGATGTTATTGGGCCAGTGGCCCGTGACATGCTGGCCCACTCTCCCCCGAGATGTCCTGGGTCTGGCCTCTGCTCAGCCCGAGAGTGAGGTGCAGCCCCCTGCTCTCAGCACCCTGGGGCTGCCAGACCCCTCACCTGCTGAGCCCCAGGGTTGCTCTGGGGGTTCCCGAGAGAGTGTGAGGTGGCTAATACCAGGGGTGCAGGGGATCGAGGACGCGGTCAGAAAAGGGGTGGGCTCTCGCAGTCTCGGCCGGAAAGAGCTGGGTCCTTCCGACACTTTTTCCCCCTCTTGTCAATTTGAGATTTTACAAAACAACCAAACCAAACCAAAGTAGCCTGTGTGAGGCTGGCCGCCCGGCCTTGCAAAGCCTCTGCCCAGGGCTTCATTCGGAAGCGTCCGGATGGTCTTTTGGGTTTGGCACAATTTGGCTTCTCCACGCAGCAGCTGTGTCGGCCGCCCGCCCTGTGACGTGTGCTCCACGGGTTTGTGGGTGGCCCCCATCTCTGGAGCCCCTGTCACCCTTTGGTAGCTGCTGGCTCTCCTCTAAAGCTTCAGCGAAATGGGGGCCTCCCTGTCTCTCTTTGAAAAGCTTTCCTCAGCCAGCATGTGTCCGCCTCACCAACTTTGTGGCCAGCGCCTACCTCCTCCCTCCCGCAGCCCCGGCTCTGCCTGCGCCCACCTCCTCTCTCTCCGGGAGAGGTTTCAGTCTGCTTCAAGGGGCTCTCCCTTCTGGCAAGGCCATAGCAGGGAACCAGCGTCTGCTGAGCCCGGGTCCCTTGTCCCAGTGCAGGGTCAGTCCCCGGCAGGGCCACGGGGCTCACTCTTCAGCATCTGGGGCTTCAGGTGAATTGTGGGGGGAGTGTGGGCCACCGAGCCTCCTCCTTCCTGCTGCCCAGGCAGCGGGGCAGCAGCTTGGAAAACGGGCCTGGGGCTCTCCAGGCTAGTCCTCCCTACCTGGACCTTGGATGCTTCCAGAAGGAGGGCCAGGAGAAGGCTGGGTGGGATGGAGGACCCAGGGGGCAGAGGTACGGTCCAGGATCAGGCTGTGGGACTCTGGGTGTGCAGTGTGCACCTGGTCAGAGGGACAGTCTGGGTGTCCACTGGGCTGCATGGTGGGACCCTCCACGTGCCAGGCTGACTCTGCCAACACGGCCAGCCCGGGGGCCCAGAGCCCTGTGTGTGCTGTGCCCAAGCCCGCTGTCCAGGATGCCGGGTGTGCAGAACTGGGCCTGGGTCCTGGTCCCCATGGTGGCGGGTGCTGATGACAGGTGGTCTCTGGCACTTGGAGGATGGAGGGCAGAGCCCTGGGCCCCTGGGCCTGCACCACATACCTGTCACCTCACCCTTCAGGATGCAGTTGGCTGGGTGGGCTCTCTGCAGGGTAGGTTTTCTCACCAGACCTGACAACTGCTGGGGCCCCAGTGCCACCCAATCTCCAGGCCCAGGCTCAGCCCCCTCGGGGTGGGTGCGGGCCATGAGTGGGGGGTACTGTCCTCACCTGCTGGGGCCCCAGTCCCTAGGCCCAGGCTCACAGCCCCCTTAGGGTGGGTGCAGGCTATGGGTGTAGGGGGGTGCAGGCCCCAGAGGCCCCTTCCAGACCAGGTGAATCCAGTACTGAGGCAAGTGGGTGGGTCTCGGGCCGGGCTGCTGGAGGACAAGAGCCAGCTTCCATTTTTTTCTTAGACACCTGGCACCAGAGAGGCTGCCAAGACCATGACCCCATCTGGGCGTCCCAGCTTCACTGCCTGGCAGACATGAGGACACCCACTTTCTGCAGACAAGGGTGTGGCCATAAACCCCAGGGGTAGAATCCCAGCCTTGACCAGGGCCCCTGGAGGCCCTGAGCTCATGGGGGACCCTGTCCCTGGGGCACAGTCTGGTTGCAGTCTGTTGATGGTTTGACTGTGGTCAGTGTCCACCCTGGGTGGCACCAAGGCTGAGTTTCCTCCCTCTGGTGAGAGGACGTTCTGGAAACTTACAGGGGAACTGGCCCACGGACTGACTCACTTCCTTGCCACTTTGTTTCTCAGTTTCTCCCTCTAGACGGAGGTGTGGGGAATGCCAGGCCAGGTCCTAGCGCCGTCCCGGGCCTCAGACCCTCTGTTCTGGCACCCTAACAGAGGCTATCAGGAGCGCAGGTCCCAGATCAGGGTTGAGGTGGGAACAAAGTAGGCGTCTCGGGCCCATGAGCGGGCACCCCATCCCCTCCAGGGCACTGGGAGTGGCCCGTTCATGGCAGCTGTCAGTGGCGGCTGAGGTCACTTTTAACTGCATCATCTACTTGTGCTGTTTATGGGGAACCTGGGCCTCTTGGGGTTTTGGCCTTGTCTGAGAGCTTGCCCCCCAGCTGATCTGGAGGTGGTGCCTATCCGCAGCATACGGCTAGTCCCTGAGCCCACCACTTACAATAAGCAGGAACATGTCCACCCTGGGGGAGCAGGATTGGGGTACAGAGAGGCCCTGGGGAACCTGAGCAGGGCCTGCCTTGCTGCAGCCTTGCCCTTTGACCTGGGCTGGGCCTGATCCTGCCTTGGTTTCCCTCTCAGAAGCAGTGGTGCATTGGTAGACTGTACCTCAGCTTTCTGGGGCCTTTTGGGGAGCAGGGTGGGAGAGCCAGGGGCCCATGTGAGAGACTCTGAGCTCAGGACAGGGAAGGCACTGTGCCCCCCTGCAGGCAGGAAGCCTTGACCCTGTGGGTGTAAGTTCATGGGCGCCCACAAGCTCTGGGGTCACCTCATGGCACCAAGAGTGGTGGGCCAAGTTGAGACGCTAGAGGCCAACCCACTTACCTCAGCTTTCCGGGAGGCGGCCTGGGCTGGCCAAACTCTCAGCTGCCTGCTCCACCTGCTGGCCGGTGGTCCTCACGGATCTGAGCTTTCCTTCCAGGGATGCTCCTCCACACCAGGAGGTGTCCCTGCCCCGCCCACCCCAAGGACCTCCCGCGGGTGTGTGGACGATGAGGACCATGGCTCTCTGTTTCTGTGCCTACTGCTCGACTCCTGCAGTCCCCACTCCACCCCGCGTGGTCCCCTTCACAACTCTGGGCCTGTCCCTCTCAGTCCTGGCCTTGCTGCAGTGGGCATACCCCCTGAAGAGGCCCTGCCCAGAGAGGTCTCCAGGGTGGGGGCTGGAGAGCTGGAGTGTCCGCTGGAGGGACACAGGCAGTGGTGGCTGGTGGGGGCGGGCCAGGCTGAGCAGTACTGGAGAGTGAGTCAGGGCTGGGGACTTGCTGGCCATGGGAGTCTCTGCCCAGAGCCTGATGGCATGGGGTAGGGATCCTGATGGCTGTGGGGGCACCAGGAGGTGATGGAGGGCTGGCTAAGAGGACCACAGGCAGACTCAGGTAGAGCTGAGCATTTGGTTAGAAACCAGGAGCTGGGGCGCCGAGTTCCTGCCATCTCATGTGGGGAGGGCAGGGGGGATGGGAGGGGTGACAAGACCAGGGGTCTTAAGAAGTGTGCCAGCTGGGGCGTGTCGGAGTGTCTGATTCTCGGGCCACTCGGCTAGGTCATCAGCACCACCTTCTGGACTCTGGCCTCCCCTGTGGCTGGTGGGTGGTGCCGGGAGCTGCTCCTGCAGGAGGGGGGTGCCTCCAGGGCTCGAGGTGTAGGTGATGCCTGGGGAAAGCCTGGGGTCTGGCCTTGCGGTGAGTGAACGAGGGGCTGTGCCTCCGTGCCCCTCTGCCCTCACCACCCACCTGGCTGGGGCAGGACAAGTGCTGACCGCCTCCACCCCAACACCCTGTCTCAGGCCCTGGGCTCTCAGGGCTGCCCTTGTTGACCTCATGCAGGGTCTGGTTTGCCCTCCCGCCTCAGCTGTCCTTACACTAACTGTTCAGGAGCTCCCCGAGTGGCACTCTCTGCCCCTGCACATGGCCCCCCTCAGCACCACCCTACTACCTGCAGGGTCCTCAGGGGGGCTCCCAATGCCCCCTTCCTCTTTTAACCCCCCTCACAGCGTGAGAACAAGGGCTCTGGGGCTAACACTGGTGTGGCCCTGTGTGCCTGGTGACATAGCAAGGCCGTGCAGCAGGCAAGACGTGCCCAGGCCACACCGTGACCTCTGGGTCAAATCAGTCCTCTGGGGGTGGCCTGTGTATTGTAGGGTGCTTGGTAGCACCCCTGGCCTCCACTCACGATATGCCAAAAGCACCCATGAGGCTGCTGCCTCCAGACACCGCCCAGTGTCCCTGAGGGCTGAGCTGTCTAGTGAGGACCCTTGAGAAACACCAGATCCAGTGCCTCCCTCCTGGCTGTCATCACCGTCACTGCCATCAGCACCAGAGTAGGCCCGGTGGGATGAACACGCACTGCCCTCCCCGTGTCCAAACCCTGGCCTCCAGGACGCCTCCCTGGTGCCTTCCGGGGGCTTGTGCTGTTGATGTCTGCACTTCTCTGGGTCAACTTTGTGTCGGCAGCTCAGGGCAGGCGGGCAGAGGAGGTCAGGGCAGGCGGGCAGAGGAGGTCAGCAGCGCTCACCTCAAACCCTGTGCCTCCCGGAGGGTGCCCTGCCCTCAGGAGGATGACCCCCAGGTGTGTGGCTCACCCCAGGAGGTGCCCTGAATAGCAAGGAGGTTTTGTGTCCTGTCAGCCACCTGCCTGGCTGGGGCACAGTCCCTGTGTCCTGGCTGCCTGTGTGGCCCTGCACACTATACTGGCCCCGCCTGTCGCCTGTCGCTGCCCCTCGCAGCTCCCATAGGGTGGGGTAGCTGAGGGAGCGCCCAGGCAGCGGGACAATCCTCAGGGACGTTTTAGCAAGTCCACCTGCACTGGGCTATGGGTGGGGTGCCTATGCTCGGCCAAGTCCCTGCCGTTTTCAGGAATAGACTCAAAGGAATGTGGGAGCCTGTGAAGCAGGGCTTGGGGCGATAGGGTCCTGCTGGCATCAGTGCCTGTGTAGGGTGGTAGGTCAGCGTGGCTTGGGCTCCAGTCCTCTTGAAGCAGGCTGGAACCTCCCCTCCCCCGCGCGTTCTTCTCGGACTGGACAGGTATGGCCTTGCTCACCCCCTCCTCCCTCCTGCCCCTTGGCCCGCTGCAGCCCTCCACAGTGTCTCCTCTGAGCTCCGCAGACCCACACCCTGCTGCCTGCCTGCCTGGCTGCCGCTGGCTGTGGCTGCTTCGCTTGCTCTGTGCCTCTGCGTCCTTCACGTTGTGAGCCAGGCCCCGCCGCCACCAGCAGTGGTCAGCGCACGGGCGGGCCTGACTGTGGCCTTTCCTCTCCCCAGGGCCTTCGTGTACCTCAGCAACCTGCTGTACCCCGTCCCCCTGGTGCACCGCGTGGCCATCGTCAGCGAGAAGGGCCAAGTCAAGGGCTTCCTGCGAGTGGCCGTGCAGGCCATCTCAGGTGTGTGCAGGCCGTCTGGCTGGGGCCGGGACCAGGGCTCTTCTGGACCTGTGTGGGCAGGTGGGGCTCCAGGTAGGAGCTGCAAGGGTCACGATACCCCAGGTTTGTCCCAGCAGCTGGAGTGGCGAGGACACTGTCCAAAGGAGGGGCCTGTGTGCCAGGGTGGAAGGGGTCTCTGTCCCCCTTAGCTTTTACTCAGTCCTCCTTGGAAGTCCTGATGGTTGAGCTTGAGTCCTGTTGAGCAGGGCATTTTATGGGATAACGTTGACTTGACTTTGGACCATACCTCATGTTCCCACAGTCCAGTGGCTATGGTGGCAAAAGGGACTTAGAAAAGGCCACTGACTCTGGATGGTTTCAAGTCATACCTGCAGACTTGGAGGGCTTTGGCTGTGGGCTCAGGCTGGCACTGGGCTCCACTGTGCCCAGGTGGACATTGGTCAGTGGTAGGTCAGACCTACAGGCCCTGCCCTGGGAGCCACAGGCTACAGCCAGGAGCGCTGGGACACAACGGAATCCCCTGGGGGTACTATGACAGCCCCCAGGCCCACATTGGAGGTAGGAGGGGCAGAGGTGTGTTGCAGAGGGCCGAGGCTGCTGGAGGGAGGATGTGCACAGCCCTCCTCGGGAGTGGTGTTTAAGCAGAGTACCCCGAGTGTCACGGTGGCAGAGACTAGGTTGGGGGCCTTTAGGTAATGGGTTAAGGGGCTTTTGGCTTTAACCCAGACCTTCAGGGAAGCACTCAGAGCTTCACACACAGGAGGCATGAATGGAGACATTGGGGACCAAGCACGTGCGAGTGGGGACATTGGGGACTGAGCACGCACCAATGGGGACACTGGGGACTGAGCACCCGTGACTGGGGACATAGGGGACCGAGTATGCACAACTGGGGACATTGGGGACCGAGCACATGCGGTTGGGGACATTGGGGATGGAGCACACACCAGTGGGAACACTGGGGACTGAGCATGCATGACTGGGGACATTGGGGGCCGAGCACGCATGACTGAGCACATTGGGGACCGAGCATGCACGACTGGGGACATTGGGGACTGAGCACGCACGACTGGGGACATTGGGGACCGAGCACGCATGACTGGGGACATTGGGGACTGAGCATGCACGACTGGGGACATTGGGGACCGAGCACGCATGACTGGGGACATTAATGATGGACCATATGTAACTGGGGACATTGGGGACTGAGCACGCACCAGTGGGGACACTGGGGACTGAGCATGCACGACTGGGGACATAGGGGACCGAGCATGCACGACTGGGGACATTAAGGATTGAGCACGTGCGAGTGGGGACATTGGGGACTGAGTACGCACCAGTGGGGTCACTGGGGACTGAGCATGCGTGACTGGGAACATTGGGGACCAAGCATGCACAACTGGGGACATTGGGGACAAGCATGCATGACTGGGGACATTAAGGATTGAGCACGTGCGAGTGGGGACATTGGGGACCGACCACGCTCCAGTGGGGACACTGGGGACTGAGCATGCGTGACTGGGAGCATTGGAGACTGAGCATGCATGACTGGGGACATAGGGGACCGAGCATGCACAACTGGGAACACTGGGGACTGAGCACATGCGGTTGGGGACATTGGGGACAGAGCACACACCAAGGGAACACTGGGGACTGAGCATGCATGACTGGGGACATTAAGGATGGACCACGTGTGACTGGGAACATTGGGGGCTGAGCACATGCAAGTGGGGACATTGGGGACTGAGCACGCACCAGTGGGGACACTGGGGACCGAGCACATAGGGCTGGGGAGATTGGGAACTGAGCATGCGCCAGTGGGGACACTGGGGACCAAGCATGCACAACTGGGGACATTGGGGACCAAGCACGCATGACTGGGGACATTAAGGGTGGACCACATGTGACTGGGGACATTGGGGATGAACCATGTGTGACTGGGGACATTGGGAACCGAGCATGTGCCAGTGGAGACACTGGGGACTGAGCATAGTGTTTGCTGTAGGTTTGTCACAAACACCCTTTACCAGGTTCGGCATGTTCCCCTCTATTCCTGCTTTGCTGAGGACTTTTATTGTGAAAGGGTGTTGGATTTTGGCAAATGCCTTCTCTGTGACAGCTGAGATGACCATGTGGTTGTCATTCCAATGAGTCAAAAATTGATTGGACGGTGCTAACAACACCGTTAATGGAGTGTATTTCATTGGTTGATTTTTGTAGATAGAACCATCCCACATCCTGAGATACATCCTACCTGATCGTGGTCATGATGCTTTTATATGCTGTTGGACTCAGGCTGCTGGTGTTTTGTAGAGGTTTTTGCATGTCGTGCTCTTCTGAGGTAGCTTCTGGCTTTGATGTGTGATAGAATGATTTAGGAAGTGTTCCCTCCTCTATTACTTGGAAGCATTTGGGAAAAATTAGTGCCAATTCTTTAGACGCTTGCTGGGATTCACCAGTGAAGCCATTGGGTCCTGGCCTCTTCCTTGTTGGCAGGTTTTATTCTGATTCGATCTCTTCCCACAGCAGGCCTGCTTAGGCCTTCCATCTCTTCGAGAGTCAGGTTAGGTAGTTTGTATATTTCTAGAAACTTCTCCATTTCATCTAGATTACTCTTTGTTTTGGGGTTTGGTTTTTAAAATGCCAAGTTTGTGGCACTGGTCAGAGGGGATGGTAATGGGGAAACAGCTGACTCTGGGACCCCGGGAACAGCACAGACTGGGTGTCCAGGTATGCCAAGAGGAGCACCCAAGAGGGACACCCTGGTTAGTGAGCTGCAGCTAACATGACTGGGGCTCTGCCAGGGCTCAGCTGCCCTAGTGTGGGCTGGAGCCCCATCACCTGTCCTGTTCCTGTGCACCCTGTCCCTGTGGGGAGGCTTGGTGGGGTTCTGAGCATACCCTCCTCTAGGGATGAGCTGGTCCCCAAGCGTCTTGATCGGTTCCTCTTTTAGCTGATGAAGAAGCTCCTGATTATGGCTCTGGTGTCCGTCAGTCAGGAACTGCCAAAATCTCCTTTGATGACCAGCATTTTGAGAAGGTACTGTGAGGACAAGGTGGGGAGAGGCATGTCTATGTGGGAGTGGGGGGTATTATTGGAGATCAGACATGTCTTTCCACCTTTCCCACTGCTCTCTCTCTCTCTAAGCCAAGTGGCAGGTAGGTAGTAAACTGTTACCAAGAGGGGTCATTCTTTAGACAACCATAGGCTGGTGAGTCCAAAAGAGACTTTGAGGCCAATTCATAGCAGGGGAACTGTGGCCCAGGGAAATGGATGCCCTGTCCTAGGTCTGGAACACAAATCTGTGAAGGCCTCTGCTCCCAGGGTGGTGAAGGCAGTGGGCCCTGGAAAGGTCTGTGGATGGCCCCAGCCTGAGTGGACTCTCTGTCAGGTCTCAGATCTCCTCTGACTCTGCCTTCCTCTTCCTCCAACAGTTCCAGTCCGAGTCCTGCCCTGTAGTGGGGATGTCCCGCTCCGGGACCTCCCAGGAAGAACTGCGCATTGTGGAGGGCCAGGGCCAAGGTGCTGATGCGGGGCCCTCTGCCGATGAGGTCAACAACAACACTTGCTCAGGTAGCCCTCCTGCCCCATCAGCCCAGGACATCAAGGTCCACAGACATGTGGGTTCTCCCACTCAGCAGACCAAGCTCTAGGGCTACCCCATCTGAAGCCCTAAGCTTTGAATCCCACGGTCAGCCAAGGCCTTCGTGGGCTCCTTACCTGAACCCTGGAGGCCTGTTCCCTTGGGGCACCCCTGTCACATCACTCGCCCTTGGTCTCCAGCAGCAGTGCCTCCTGAAGGCCTCCTCCTAGACAGTCCAGAAAAAGCTGTGCTGGACGGAGCCCTGGACACTGCCCTGGACCACCTCCGCCTGGGCAGTGCCTTCACCTTCCGCGTGACGGTCCTGCAGGCATCCAGCATCTCCGCTGAATACGCTGACATCTTTTGCCAGTTCAAGTGAGCCCATGTTCTGCATCTCCAGGGGCACTGGTGGCCTTTGCTCTGTCCTTAGCAAGACCCGGGCCTGGAAGGGGACATGATCAGTGTGCATGAACACATGTCTCCTTTTGTCCCCATGTGGTATGGGTTCCAGCCCATCCCAAGTCACCACCTCTCCCCTTGGTTTGCAGCTTTATCCACCGCCATGATGAGGCCTTCTCCACAGAGCCTCTGAAGAACACGGGCCGGGGCCCACCGCTCGGCTTCTACCACGTCCAGAACGTAGGTCCTGACAGCCCGTGTCCACCCCTTTGCCTGACCACCACACATGCATTCATCCTTCCCACTGACCATTCTCCTCATAGTCAGTTCTCCCTGTCATCCCTTCTCCTTCCGTCTATTCTCCTATCACTGTCCTTTCTCCCCATCACCCCTCCTCCCCGTCACCCTCCTCCCTGTCACGCCACCTCCCCGTCACCCCTCCTCCCCCCCCCCCCCCCCCCCCCCCCCCCCCCCCCCCCTTCTCCCTGTCACGCCACCTCCCTATCACCCCTTCTGCCCATCACCCCTTCTCCCCTCTGTCTGTTTTCCCTATCACCATTCTTTCTCTCTGTCACACCTTCTCCCTGTCACCCACTCTCCCCTGTCTGTTCTCCGCATCACCCATTGTTCTCTTCATCCATTCTCACTATTTTTCTCCCCGTCATTCATTCTCTCTGCCATCAACTCTCCCTATTAACTCTTCCCTGTCGTCCGTCCGTCCCATCGCTCTCCCCATCATTCATTTCCCCATCGTCTCTTGCCCATCCTTCCGTCTCCCTGTCATCCATCCATCCCATGGCTATCCCCATCACTCATTCTTGCCATTGTCTGTTCTCATCATTTTTCCCATCATTCATTCTCCCCATCATTCCTTCTCCCTACCATCCACTCTCCCTGATATCCAATCTCCCTCTTCTGAACGTCAGTCAGGTACCTGACTGAGGCATATAATCTATTCCTGGAAAGTCAGGACACCTTTGGCAGCCCTGGCCAGGGTGTTAGGGAAGGGGTGGGGCAGTCCACAGAGGGAGAATATTCCGGGGAGAGAGGCCAGGAAGATGTCCTAGGCAGGAAGAGGACTGCATGCCAGGCCATTAGGATGGAGAGCAGAGGCTCTCGGGGCAGAGCAGTCCCCTTCGTCTGGACACGGTTAGGTGGGCAGCATGGGGACGGGTGTGTAGACCCTGGTGACCACAGAAACTGTGAGTGATGGATGGGACCTTCATTACCAGCTTTTTGGGCCCCAGTTCTCACATTGCCCTGGGCCCACAAATTGTATAGCCAGTCCTGACCACAAGGTCATTGGGGCTGTGTGACTTTCACTCTGGGGTCTGATACCCAGGACACACAGTGAGTGGGCAAGGGTTGACGAGTCAGTCCCTGCCCTTTGTCTTGGTCTCCATGTTTTGAAAGGATGGCTGAGCCCAGCCTGGGATGCCTCCAGCCCTGCAACACAGGCAGAGGGCTGCCTGCTGGGTGGCCACTGGGAAGGAGGGGTGGGACTGGCGGGGCCTGCTGGGTCTGACTTGGCCAAGGCTGGGCTGACCCAAGGGGCCTTGGCCTCAGCTGAGGGCCCATCCTGCACCTCCCCTCCCTCCCACATGCCCCCAGATTGCCGTGGAGGTGACCAAGTCCTTCATCGAGTACATCAAGAGCCAGCCCATTGTCTTTGAGGTCTTCGGCCACTACCAGCAGCACCCGTTCCCTCCCCTCTGCAAGGACGTGCTCAGGTCAGCACCCTAGGCAAGGGGGTGGGCGATGTGAAATAGGGACTGCCACCTTAAAGCTAGCTTCAGACACCTTGTCAGGGGTTTGGGCCTTGGGATGCAGAGCCTTGCCCCTACCGGTGCCCACTGTCCTCTCTCCATCCAGAGGCCCTTTACACGAGGTGGGCATGGCTTAGCCTGGGCCTGCACCAGCTTCTCCCCTGCAGGACTGAGGAGTCCAAAGCTGGACTCCCAGCAGGATGTGGGCAGTAGTGTGGGGCGGAAGAAGCCTTGGGGTGCCCTCCAGGCAGGGGCAGCTACTGCTGTGTCTTGAGGTCTGTGGATAACCCAGCTAGTCTTGACCTGGGGTCCCTACTGACCCAGGAGCGTCTGTCCAGTCCCACACTAACGTGGCCTCCCAGGGCTGGGGCTGAGGCCAGGACCTCCGGTGGGGGTCTCACTCTGCAGTGGGTGGGTAGTGTGGCCCCTCTGGGGCTAGGAGGACCAGGAGAATCGGGGGCAGGCCCCAGGCTGTGGGATCCCCTCTTTCCCTGCAGTGCAGGACCCGGAGCTGAGTGGGACATCCAGGGGCTTGGAAAGAGGGCAGTGAGAGGCTTTGATTCAGGTGTTTGGCCCCAGCAGCCTCGTCTGTCCCCAGGAAACTGAGGGCAGCTCGGTCCCGGACGGGAATCAGTGCCTGGTGCTCACCCTGATGTTCTGTGGCCTTCAGGCTCAGGCTTCTGAAGGTCCCCCCCTCCCACTCAAGGTGGTGGGGAACTTGAGATGGGGACAGATGGACAGGGGTCAGCAGCGCCAGACATCAGCCTGAGGGCTAGGGGCCGTGCAGGCCCAGGGTCTCTGGAGACCCTACCAACCTTCAGGGCTGCCTCCCAATGAGCTCTGCTCTCTTCCTCCACAGCCCCCTGAGGCCATCACGCCGCCATTTCCCGAGGGTCATGCCTCTGTCCAAGCCAGGTAGGTGGGGCTCCCAGCCCCGGGTGCTGTGCCTCTGTGTGCAAGTCTGAGGCCAGAGCTGTGCCCTCCTCTTCAGGCACTGGGGCCTTGCCCCCAGCCACCCTCTCCTGGCCCCCAGCTGCTTGGCACTCTGCCCTGGGGCAGGGCTTCAGAGGTGGGACCAGGGGATGCGGAGCGGCGGGGTTGTGTCACATGGGGCAGGGAGAAGGGCGTCGGTCGCTTCTGCCCCTTTATGCATGGTGCTGGGGCCTGTCTGTGCCAGGACTGGGCTGGATGCTGGGGACAGGGTGGGGGACTGGCTGTGTCTCCTGAGGGTGCCCTCATTACCCCGGAGCGTCCCGCCCCCGACTCGGGGAGCACACACATGCCCCCTCTCCTGCTGCTGCTCCAGCTGTTCCTCTTGTCCTCCAGTGCCTGCCACCAAGCTCAGCACACTGACACGCCCCAGCCGAGGGCCCTGCCACTGCAAGTACGACCTGCTGGTCTACTTCGAGATCTGCGAGCTGGAGGCCAATGGGGAGTGAGTATGGGGCCAGGGCAGGGGGCTGGGGCTCCGCCCGAGTGTCCCAGATGTTCAGTGGGGAGCAGAGGCCAGGGGCTGCCCTGCCCCAGGAGTTGCCAACACGGGGGTCACTCTGTCCCTGGCTGTTTACTGCACACCTGCCCCCGGTGCTGCTAGATGGGGTGGGCGAGGGCCAGGCCACCCTGGGGAAAGCTCAGGGCTGCCACCTGGGCAGGGAGCACTTTGGCTCTGGCTCTCGCTCTGAGTGGGATGGATGCCTCAAGGCTGTGGAATCATGGCTGACTTCACCAGGACCCCTTCTGGCTGTGGATCTGTAGGGTTGAGGGGAAGCAGGGAGACCCATTGTTCCCTCCCAGGGCAGTGGGGGGCTGGGTGAGTGAGGGTGCTGCACCGTGTGCGCTGGGTCTGGTTCCCTTCGCTCTGTCTCTGACCGAGGAAACTGATGAGTCTGCACTCTCCATTGTCCACTACCGGAACCAGAAGATGGTGCGTGGGGCTGGGCAGGGTCTGGCCAGGTGGGGCCAGCGCCTTACTGACTGTCTCTTGCAGTTACATCCCGGCTGTGGTGGACCACCGAGGGGGGATGCCTTGTATGGGGACCTTCCTGCTCCACCAGGTGGGTAGCCTGCGCCCACTGCCCCACCTGCCCCGCCATGCCTTTTTCTCTGCACCAGGCCCAGGCCCCACCCCAGGCCCAAGCCCCGCCCCAGGCTCAGGCCCCACCCCAAGCTCAGGCCCCGCCCCTGGCCCAGGCTTCCCTGCACCCTTGCTTGAGCCCTGCCCTGGGAGGGCTCACTGCCAGGTCAGGCCCAGCGGCTGCAGGCCGTCTGACCACGGTCTCTCTTGACCCCGGCAGGGTATCCAGAGACGGATAACAGTGACTCTGCTGCACGAGACAGGCAGCCACATTCGCTGGAAGGAAGTGCGCGAGCTGGTCGTGGGTGAGCAGTGTGGGGCACCCCACACAGTGCTCGGCTGGGGGTGTGAACACTGACCCCAGCCAGATGCCAAGTTTAGCTGCAGCCCTGCCCTCATTGCGTTGTGCCCTTGGCTGAGTCACTTGACCCCTCCCTGCCTCCGTCTCTCAACTGAAGGGGCCCAGGTGACAATCCCCACATTTCTGCTGGGTCGCCGGGGTGTTGGGCGTTCCTTCCACCCATCACATTTGAGCTCTGCTTGCTGGGAAATGGCTCCTTTGCTGCTGTCCAGTTTGCCTCCCCATTCCCATCACCCAGGGCAGCCACCACTGGCCTCAGGTGTCGAGTTAGCCCGAGACCCACAGGTACCTGTGGCTGGCCAGGCCTCCAGGCCAGTGCCCCTGGGGCCTGTCAAGGTTCCAACTGGTGGTGCTATTTAAAGGGATTTGGGGAGATGCTAAAGTTACCAGCAACACCCTCCAGCCAGGTTAGCCTCTCAGGGCTTCCTAAATCAGGCAGGGCCTGTCAAGGCACAGTTCCAGGCCACAGAGTCTGTTAGCGGGAGGGCTCGCCACCTCACTTCTGGCCTTCTGGACCCTGAGCTCAGTACACACGCTTCTCAGAGCCCAACACAAGAGAGAGATCCAGAGAGACAGAGACACATACACAGATACAGAGAGGTCCAGAGACCACACACACGGAGAGACAGACTCTACACACATCCACAGACAGAGACCTCACACGCAGAGAGACAATTCCACACATAGAGACTCCACACATCCACAGACACAGAGACCCAGAGAGACCACCCAGAGACAGAGACCCCCCACACACACAGAGACCTCACACCCAGAGAGACAATTCCACACATAGAGACTCCACACATCCACAGACACAGAGAGGACAGAGACAGTACGTAGAGAGACAGACAGTAAACAGACGGAGGAGACGGGGAAGGTGAGAGGGAAACAGTCCACGGAGAGTGATGGCTGGGAAGCTCAGAGCTGGGCTGGGGGAGGTGGTGCTCGAGTGGGAGTCCATGCACAGGTGGCCCCTGACCTCAGAGTCCTCTCTGACTGGACACTCGTGGCCGCGTGGAATCGGTTCCTCGACACAGAATTGCAGTCTCCTGGTCCTACCAGGCAGAGGCAGTGGCAGGGGGTGACACGCTGCCTTCCCGCAGGTCGTATCCGAAACACTCCAGAAACCGACGAGTCTCTGATCGACCCGAACATCTTGTCTCTCCATGTTCTCTCGGCCGGGTATATTCACCCTGCCCAGGACGACCGGTGAGTCCCCACAGGCAGCCGCATTGGCTTCCGTCCTCGCTGCCTGGGTCAGGCTCTGTGTCTACAGTGGAGGTGCTGGACAGCAGAGGCCTGGTGGCTTCATTCTTCTTTGGTCACACTCACCCATGCCCCTCTATGGGGTCCTCCAGCAGACCTGGGTGGCAGGGTCCCGCCCTCGGGGGTGTTGTGGGCTTGAGTGGTGGACATACTTGCAGGCATCCTGAGGGTCCCTCCTGCACGGGCTCTGTGCCCGTGGCAGGGTGGGGCCTGGGACCCTGCAGGCAGGCTGGGTGGGGTCTGCTGCTCTGACTGCCCTTGCACTCCAAGGTGGCGGCCCCACAGGGCATGGCTTGGTGCATGCTCCCTGTCACTGGGCTTTTTTCCCTCTGGGCTCTGGTGAAGTGGCCGAGGTCTTGACGCTGGAGCTGTGCCTGGGCCACACCTGGGGCCGTGGGCGGGGCTGTGAGCCAGGTGCTGGAGCCTAGGAAAGTGCCCTGTCGTCCGGGCAGGGCATTGTGGACGGAGTTGGCAGGGCGTGAGACGCACTTGGGCCAGGCTCCGAGAAGGGATAGAGATAGCTGCCTGGTGGGTGCGTTAGCGGCTCTGGCCCCGGCTGCAAAGCCAGCTCTCTGGGGCTGTGGGGGAGTGAGGGACACTTGAGTCCTGTGCTTGTAGCTCCCTGAGGGCCACTTCCTTCCTGCTCCCCAGACTCGGGGCAGGGCTGGCCCTGGGGGCTCGAGCTGGGGTTGGGGGACTGCCACTGTGCCTGAGTTTGCAGAAAAAGCCCCTTTGAGGGCCCGCTGCGCTTGGACAGGGGTGAGAGGAAGAGGGTTCTGAGCCCTTGGTTCTGCACAAGTGTGGGGAGGGTGAGCAGCACGGGGAGCCCTTCCAGGCCAGCAGGAAAGCACGCAGCCACAGGCTTTGTTGGGAGAGGCCAAGGACGGCTCTGAACGCAGCCATGCCCAGGGGTCTCCCTGAATAGCTCCCCTGTTGCGTCCAGAGGGTAGAGGAGTTGGGGTGAAGGTGCTTGGCAGGGAGCAGAGCACTGCGTGGGGGGCGTGGGCCTGGGGCTGCCGAGGGGCGTGGGCCCCTTGCCTGGGCCACGGGGAGGGGTCTGCCTTGCCGAGCCACACTGCGGAGCCTCGGAGGTGACCTCCTCATTCTCCTGACCTCTGACCCTTTGCCTCAGCAACTCTTGGCTTCAGGGGCAAAAAAGGAGCATTGGGGGTGGGGGGAAGGGGGGGAGTGATGGGTGCTTCTCCCTCCTGAGTTCCTTCACTGAGGCCACAGGCCGTGTTTTGGGCTCTCCCCGTGCCCCTGGCCAGCCTGGTCCCTGGAGGGCCCTGGGGGTGTAGGGCGCTAGGCCCTGGGCTGTCAGAGGGTAGAAGGTGCTGGAGGGCTTATCCCTGGGGCCCGAGGACCCAGGCCCTGGATCCCACGGCTGGGGAGGCTTCCCCCTGGCCCCGGGGGGCTGTGAGAAGTGAGGCCGGCCCACAGGGCAGCTCTGGGCTCTGCCTGGCCCTCAGTGGGGCTCCTAGGAGCATGGACAGAGGAGGGCCTCTGGGGCGGGGCATAGACTCTGGCCTGGCTACTTTGGCCACTTGCTTGGCTCCACCCATGCTGATGCTGAGGCCCACCCCACCCCCAGCCCAGAACAGTCTCGGACCCTCCACAGCCGCTGCTCAGCTGGCCCAGCCGACGGGGCCCTCCTCCTCCCTGCTCGTGGCTGAGGTGGGCCCCGTGGGGTCCAGCTTCCCGCACCCACAAGTGCCACGTCCCCGAGACACTGGCCCTGGTCGGTGGAGGCTGGCCTACCCTTGCGCTTCGCCTCGGCCTCCCGCTGAGAGGCCACGCTTTGCTGCCTCCACTCAGAGAGGCCACCGGACGTGGAGGCCCCTGTCTGGCCCCATGCACGACACACTGCTGCGCTGTCGCCGCTGCCCGCCGCTGCCCACCCGCTGCCCACCTCACTAACGTGTGCTTGTTTATGTTTTACAGGCAGTTTCTTGATTGGGACACGCCTAGGTACCATCTGTCTCCCAGGCTTGACTCCAGTCCCCTCCCCCCCCCCCCCGCCTCCACCCGCACCCCCACCCCGAGCATCACCTTAGGTCCCGCCGTTGGGGCTCCTCACGTGCGCTCGCCTCTCCTGCTTCTCCCGTCTTCTGATTGTCATTCCCCCAGAACAGCCTTTGGGTTTATTTTACCGCTGCTCCCCCTTATCCGCCTGGCTGAGCCTCCCTTGCCCCCCACTCTTGAGTTTGGCTGCTTTTGTAGTGTCCCCTTCTCTGTAGAGACTGGCTGGCCCCCTGCTCCTCCCGCCCGAGCCCTGCCCGCCCCATGCTGACCATGCCTGGCCAGGCCGAGCGGGTGCCCTGCATGGGAGCCATGCTGCTCTGAGGACCAGCCCCTCGGTGCAAGGTGAAAGAGAAAAGCGGGGCCAGGGCTAGCAGCGAAGGCGGGGAGGGGCCGTCAGGAATGGCGTCAGGGCAGTTCTGAGGCCCCTCGCCTGACTGGCCAGTCGGAGGGTGGGTGCATCCGGCCACACTTGCGGCGTGGCCAGCACACCTGTGTGTTTGGATAGTAGGCAGGTGGTGATGAAGGCCACATATCGGAAGACTCAATAGGGCTGTCAGCGTCCCGGCCCCCACAGCCTCCTGGGCAGGGGCCGTGGCTCTCTTCCCTGGCTCCAGCAAGGTCCTGGCCTGCCGGCCTGGTGCCATGGTTAGCAAAGCCCTGAGACGGATGCCCTGTGAGGGCCTGGTCCAGACTTTATACTGTGTGAGCTTGAGTCCGTTGCAGATGGGAGCCGGGGCCCCTGGGGCTCCAGCCGAGCTTCATGGTGCTGGCTTGGGGTCAGCTCTGCGAGAGGATGAAGGGTACTTCCGTGACTTAGCAGCAGACAGCCCCACACGAGCGTGCAGAGCCTTAAAATCCACAGAGGGCGTGCCTGTCCCTTCAGGGCCGAGCCCCACACGTCAGGCCCGTGGGGGCAGCACAGACGTCCCTGCGGGTGAGCAGTTGTAGTTGATGGCCACGTGGCCAGGAGGGGCAGGGCAGCCAGGTCCCTGGGCATGTGCACAGACATGCCTGCTTCCAGGGGGCGACAGGCCGGGCTGTGCTAGTTCTAGGGGCCAGGCTGGGAGAGACAGAGACCCCCTGTCCCTACTCCCAGAGGAAAACTGGACTTGGAAATGGAAAACTGCAGTGGAGGTGTGAACTACCAAGGAAGCCAGAGCAGGGACCTAGCTGTCCCTGGCATCGGGGAGGGCCCTTGGAGGGCGTGGCGTGCTGGCTGGGCCCTGAGGGTGAGGTGGATTGGCTGGCTGCAACCCGCTCGGCAGCTCCCTGTCGTCAGAGCGACATGGCGTCCCTCTGGGGAGGGGCCTGGTTTGGGGGACTGTCCGGGCCCTTCCGTGTGGTCTCACGTTCCCCAGGTTCTGAGTCACTGTTGCCGAGTTTTGAGGTCCACAGCAGTGCAGTGCATTGGAGGGTGGCGTGCAGGCTGGTCCTCGAACCACCCCCACGGAGGGTTCGGGGTCAAGGGAGCTGAGAATGCCCCAGGCAGGGGCAGCTGTGGGGGTGCCCACGGAAAGGGAGCTGCTTTGCAGCAGACCTCATTTTCCCGCTCACTGGGCCTTAGGGGGTTCCTTGGCTCATTCCTGAGCAGGTGGGCTTTCCTGGACATGGACCCCACTTCCACAGGTCAGCTTGTCTACCCCTCAGTGGCCGACGTCGGGCTGGGGCGCCCAGAGGGCAAGGGGTGAGGTTTCTCTGGGGAGGGAGCCGCCTGGCAGTGGTACCCCAGCCTGGGGTTGGGGTAGGGAGGGCCTGTTCCTGAGCCTGGAGGTGGAGCCGCCTAGGGCCACACCAGGGGAGCTGGAGGCTCCGGGTGCCTGGCCTGGTCTTTGCCTGGTTGTGTGAATGTGTGCAAATGGCCTAATGTCCCAGAACTGTCCCCTGAACGTGGGGCCACGACAGCCCAACGCGGCTATGGTGTGTGTACACGGAAACTTTCCTGCACAGGGCCCGGCATGGGTCAGGTCATGAATGTGATTGTGACGCCGTGGCCACCTCTCCCAGATAGTGTCTGATAAAAACTGCACAGCTGCTGAGCAGAGTGTCCCCTACGGTAACTGTGACTGTGTGCTCAAGGTCGCACGGACACTGTGCACAGGGCCCCCCGTGAGGGAAGGCGGACGGCATGGGGGAGGTCGTGGAGAAATCCATGTCTGCGGGCACACGGCTCACACCGCACATAAGCCCTTTCCTCTCACTGACACTGTCCCCGAGCAGAGGGTGCTCACAGCCCTGTTACACAGGTGGAGAGCCAGGTGCCCGCCTCTGTCGCTTGGGTGTGAGTTGGCATGCTGCACTGGTAGCTGGGCGTCTGGAGGGTATCTGCCGCTCTGGCCACAGTGCTGGGCTCTGGCGCTGGCGGGCCCTGCTCTCAGAGGGGAGGTGTCCCTCCAGGCCTCAGGGTGGCTCCCTGCAGATACCGGGTGAGGAGGTGTCTGCACTGCCAGGGCTGCGTCCACGGGGAAGCCGGGGGCACACGTGCCTGCCGTGCTGTCTGGTCCTCGTCCCCGGGCACCATGTGGCCGACACGCATTCTGACTCTCTTATTTCTTCTGTGTGTGTCTGTGTGTCCTGGGCTGCCTCCGCTTTAGCGTGTCACTTGGAAATGACACTAGGTACACCCCACTTTTCTCTTCCGTCCTTGCTTGGTCTGTCCTCTGCTGCTTCTTAGACTCCTTCTCCTCGGCGTTGCCCCCGCCCCAGCCCGTCCGGCCCCCACTGCCCTCACTCCTTCAGAACTCTGTCCTTGGTGACTTGTATGGTAGTGGCCCTGCCCCGTCCCTCTGCTCACTTGATGTCCCTGTGTCCTGGGCTGGCTGTGGAGTAGGCGGCCGCCCTGTCTATGCCCCAACGTGGCCACGCCCAGGGTTGGCCCTGCCCAGGAGCGGCTGGGTTCCCCAGCAGGGGAGGGGCCTGGCCGAGTTGGGGCACGTGCTGCTGTCCTGTCCACGTCGATGTGTCTCTGCCGTGTCTTTGTGAGGGTGCTTTGATGGAAACCAGGGAGGCTGAGGGGGGCCGCCCAGGGCTGCAGGGCAAGGGAATTCTCAACCTCAGGGGAACCCTTGGGAGTGTGGGGCCCACAGCAGGGCTGGAGCCCTTGGGGGACGTGGGCGGCTGACACGCGGGCTGCTCACTGATGGCTGCAGGTTGGGTCCACAGGTGCCTTGGAAGAAAGCCCTGTTCATTCACTTCAGAAAGTCGGCCTGAGACCCTGGGGAGCTCAGTGCCAGCCTGACTCTCAGGGGGCACCGAGGCTGGCGGGTGACCGGTTTTGCTGGCCGTCCAGACCCTGAGAGCAGTATCCTATAACAGGAGGCCTTGTTCCTGAGCCTGGCTGGGCGATTGCCCTGGGAGGGCTCTGCTGGCTGGGGATCAGGGACAGAGAAGACAGGACTCCTTAGGGCCCAGGAGAGAGCCAACCGCTCACGGGGCGCCGCCTCCCCAGTTTCCACTCACAGCGTCCTCCCCGGGGCCCTCCAACCCCACAGCGTGGGTGACCAGTCAGGCCTAGGAGGTACTCGGCCTGGCTGGCCAGGGCTCCTCAGATCCAGGGGAGACTGGCACCTCCTTACTCAGACCAAGGCTGGACAGGGCCAGGCTACCAGGCCCCACCCCTCCTCCATGCTGCTTCTCTGCTCCCCCCTCC